CCGGCCCGGCCGCCCCCGCCCGACGAGCGAAGCCAGGCGGGGCGCGCGAGCGGCGGCGCGGTCCTGCTTCGCTGCAGCCTGACCCCAGGAGCTGCCGCCGCGGGCAGCCCCTGCTCCGCGCCCGGCACGCTGCAGCCCAGAAAAGCAGCCTCTGCTCAACTCGCAGCAATACCGCCAGCAGCTGACACGTTGGTGCTAGCACACCAATATAACTCTGCAGGGGCAGTTTACTAGCTGTTGTGAGTATTTAAAAATAAAAGCTGCTCTTTCCAAATTTACCCGCTGTTCATGTATCGCTGGACCCAACCGTAATCACAGTTTTCTGAAACGCTGCAGTATACAGCAGAGATTAGGTTTAACCGTGTTAGAAAAATGCCTGGAGCTGGTACAAGAACAGATTGATGATATTATTCATAAGCCAAAGGTCTGTGTCTGGCAAACGCAAGACTGACTGAGCAGCAGACCTTCTTGTGACCTCTTGCAAACTAGTTTACCTGTTCGCACCTCATAATTCTTCACCTTTGCGAAGCAGGTCTGTCAGGTCTGGCTGTCCTTCAGTCTTGCTGTTAAGATTGCAACTTCCTCAGATCCCTTTCGTGTGTGCTGTGTCTTAGAAGACTCATTCTATGGCCGATAATGTACTATTCGATGGAACTGGACTATATACTATGGTGTGTTAAAGTGAAACTATACTTCTCTTCTGTGTAAGAAGGATCACAAGAATATCTTCTGATTTGGGCTACCCATTTAATTCCCACGAATGAGAATCAGTTTGGCCCATCTGTGTCATGAACACTCCTGTATGGATGAAATTTAACTTTATTTGGAGGAACCTAAAACTTCTTTTTTAAAGAAAATAACCTAATTTGGGTTCTTGCCTAGCTTACGTTGCCCATGGAATCAAAACATTTAGCAATTTAGTATTTTGAGTGATGAGGAAACTCAAATGTGATAGGAGAAAGAGAAAAGTGGGAAACTATTAAAGCTCTACCATCCTGGATATACAATTCAGGTATCATATTGAGGGAAGGGAGCAGAAAGAGCAGCACTGGAAAGTTATGCTTTAGCTGTGTCATAAGCGGAAACGCAAAGGGCTTTCTCTCCCTTTTGGGTAAAAATTTACCCAGCGCCTAAAGGAAACAAGGGGAAAAACTGACCTCATTCCTACCTTTAGGTTTTCATACGTAAGCATGATCTCTGGATGGGTCTGCAAGAGGAAAGGTAGGGGAAGAGCAGAAAATGCACGAGCAGCCAAGGCTGACCTTTCACTCCTCTTGCCTCAAAAGCCCATCGTAAGTAGCTCTTTCCTCTGTGGTTATCACTATAGGTTTATTTTGCTGTCATGAGAAGTAGCACTGTTGTCCTTTGCTGTTAGCTAGTTATTTATGGGACACGACTTTCTTCCTAATATATGGCAGTATCTCACAGGATACCTGGCTAGCAACCTGCTTACTCTTGCTCATGTCATTTTGTTTTTATAGTCAATTGTAATAAATGTAAACAGACAAACACTGTAACTTTTTGTAACAATGTAGAGGATGAATTTGAAGAAAAGTAAAAAGATAAGGCGTGACAGCTTAGCTTCACTGAACTTGGTGACAAAACATTGATGTTCTTTCTTGGAAGTACTTATGACCTAAGGCAAAAGAGATCATCTAATCCGAAGGCAGGTGGCTCACAAGCACAGCGAAGCGGGGATTACATAAGTATCTCCAAAGGGTTAACATAGACCCATCAGTCCTCCTGAAGCACAGTAGGTGATTTTAATTTTAGTTGTGTCTCCATGAAATATGAAAATGTCTAAAGTCTGAGAAAGGCTTTATACTTTGAATTGGGGGTTTTGTTAATCTAACATTTAGCGCAGACCCTGCTGTAGATTTCTTGCAGCCTTTGGAGGCTGCAACCATTCCTGAGCAGGTCTATTCATTTCAGTGGGGCTATCTATAAAATAAATGACTATTCAGACCAGGGAATAAGGTAGCGTTAATGACAACTGTTCCCTGCAGATAGAGCCCGAAGACTAAGAAACCTGGTGGAAGCATTGCTCACTTGAGTAAAGTACAAAGTTTGTATTTTAAATGTGATATTTTGGGTTTTTCTATTCAAGTAGTACTTAATGTAACTAGAACATCAATACTACTTTTTAATTCATTTTTTCTGTCAGTCCAGAGCCACATTTCGCAAAAAGAAAGATGTCTTGTTGCTTTACCAATCACCTCCGCTTTCCTTTCCTAGAGATGTCTTGTAAAGTGTCCATGGATCACTGTTGAGGAAATCTTATAGAAAATGCAACTGTACAATACTTCATTCACTATCAGCTTTGAGGATAACAGTTTCTTTACCTGTTGCTTTTCTCAATAGTCTAAAACAAAACTATCATTGCATCTTGAAGAATAATGACTTAGCACCAGCTAAGCATGTTCTATGTTAACATACAATCAGCAGTTTGTGTAATTGTTTCAAATCTGCTTTTTAAAAAGAAATGAAAAGTTGCATGCCACAGAATCAACAGGAAAATGTTTAAGTGTTCAGTCATTAAAAAATCATTTGGTATTCATTGCAACAGCGTTAATTATAATGCATTCATTTGGCATCCATGTGGCTGTCACAAGTAAGAGTTCAACTATAATGCACACTAGCTAATGAGGATATAAAATGTTACTGAATCAACGTTACTGTGCAACATTTTCTTTTTTGCATTATTCATATGCTTCAGGTTTAAAAATCTATCACCAACAAGCTGTTAAAAAGCAGCAATGTATTATAAAAGACACAGTTTGGAGGCCTTGTTTTTGAAATCTGTTCAGCTGTCTGTCTAAGCAAGTGCTTATGTAGCCTCTGTCACTGTAGTATCTGAGTACCTGGAGAGTTGCCCACGGTTTTCACACGTCTCAAACCATACTGTTGAAACGTGGTCCTATTATTTTCAGCATGGACGTACAGCCTAGCATATGAGTCCAGATGGATTAAGGCAACTAACTTCCCATCGTTTCAGTGGGAATATCTAAATACCTTTGAGGGGCCAAACTCCAGTCTTCAGAGGAGTAAGTGCCTCCTTGTGATCAACACACCGGATATCCCAGAGGCATAGCCAGACTGTTATAAAGGTAGAGCACAGCTGCTAAGTTGGACCCTGACATATCGTGGGCCATACTGGTAACTTCTACCTTTTAAAAAAAAGACTAATAAAGTCCCAGGCCCTGGGGAATAAATGAGAGGGAAAGGCTAAGAAAGCGATGAGAAATCCAACTGCAAAAGTGTCATCTTTGAGGACTCCTGCCTGCCTACCTATCTCAAGCTTGAGGTGCAAGTGCTGCACCACCACCCATCACCACAGGAAAGACAGACCGAAAAAGAAAAATCAGCTGAGCTCTGGAAGATACAGAGTAAGCAGGGGATCCGGATCATTAAAAAAGATTGAACAAACTTGGCAGGGGTATTCGAGGAACGGTTTGTTTGTGCAAGACTCCTTTCGCTGGAGAAGGAGCATGACTTGGGGATGCCCCTGCTCAGGAACAGCATTTGTTTCCGTGCTGTGCCAGGCGGAGCCTGGTACATTGGAACAAGCCAGAGCTCAAGTACCTGACTCAAATTTTTAAGTGAGGTAGAGACTTTTATTTATGGATTCAAATCATGACAAGTTATCTTCCTATTTTGGGGAAGCCTAAGCTACACAGAAGTCATTGTTATTTTGGAGATCTGCAAATACAAACGAAAAAAGAATAGCAGAGCACCTTTAAGAGAAAAACAAAAATGAAGCCCTCGTGTGCCTTGCCATTATTATTTAAAATACCACTGCTTTCTAGGCACCTGCCTCTTTCCACCCACTCTGTGTGCACTGCTTCATACAAGAAGATCTCTAACTCATAACCTTTTACATTAAGTTTTCTTGTCTTATTTCAAGGAACATTCAATTATCCTTTTTCCTTTCTCTTGCATCCTACATACCTTCTTCCTACAGTGTTCCTCTGTCATTCTTTTAATATTTTGAAAAGAATGAAAATGAAATTCATGCTCACCTTCTTTCCTTGGTGGGATGTGAAGGGAAGTAGTGCCTCAGTTTATAGAATAATTCCTGCTTCAGACAACTTTCCAACTTTGTTGCTCACAGCGAGTTTTAGTGTCGATCCACTTCCTAGTCCCTGTTCTGAGAGTGCTTCAGGATCCTGGTGGAAATTTTGAAAAGTCATGAAATTCTTAAATGCCTTAACACACATACACCTATCTACTATGCTCAGCAGCATTACATTGCTGAAGCTAGTAGAGCAGGATTTCAACCCAGGTCTTTAGATGGCCTAAAGCAGTAGTCCAGAGTTTAGTCTGCATAACTGCTATGTCATCCAACTGCTCTAAGTAAACAGATTGTTTTCTTATTGTTTGAGCTGAAAACTGCTAGAGCAACGTAATGAATAGAGCAATATTATGCAATGTTAGAGCAATGTAATGAATGAAAGCTTGTCATGACTACAGCTAGGATTTTGCAACTAGCTAGAGCATAGTAACTTAAAACAGATGCAAGAAATACGGCTTAACTTACATCAGAGTTGCTTTCCCTCCACCACAGTTCCTGTGTTCCCAGCTGTGTTTGCTTAAGCATGGAAACTTATTTGGGTTGAGTAACCTGCTAAATGACAGTATTTCTTATTTGTTAGACTTAAAAGGAAGCAAAAAGAGAACGGGAAATCCCAGTCCAAGTTATCCAAATCTTACCTTCCTCAAGGTAACAAGAATATTTATATGAATTTCAAGAGAGTGAAAACAGATGAAAAAATGAGATTATAAATAAGATACAGTAGTAGAGAGAGAGATACAGAAAGTTAGAGTATTAAGACATGTAGTTATCAAAGTACTTCCATATCAAGTGAGAATCAAAACTACATCTACAGCATAATCTCTTTTCAATCTCTTCTATATAAAGCACATCTGTTGCAATTTTAAAATAAAGATTGGATATAAAAATTACCAATACAAGAGATTACTTTGGGTATATTTTAAAGTAATTTGAGGCTTTTTTTTTTTTTTTTGTCACTCAAACTCCACTGCAAAATTAGCAGTATGCAAGACCTGAAAAATCTCTGAAATCCTGCTGTCTGGGGAGGTGGTAAGACTACAAAGAGCTGTAATTGCCAAAGCAGAAGTACAACTTCTTTTTCTTGAGAATCTCAAAGCCTTTTGCATACACTAGTTAAAATGCTGACCACAAACTTGTAAATTCTCTGCTCAGCAGAAATGTGTTTGGTTTTATTTTTCTGAAAAATAGAAAATGTTTTAATGTACTGTACAAGAATGCAAATATAGCATGTTAAAATGTTTTCCTTTAATCATATAACTGTAAAAGTGCCCACATAACCAAATGCTGCTCCCAAGTTAGCCGTCACACCTGTGATCCTCCTGTCTGTTCTATTACTTACACCTTATTTGCTCTAAATGCAAGTCTCTTTCATTATCACTTATAAATTACTGCGTTTTGTTCCTTCAATGCTTTTAGCATAGGATAAATGCTTAATTTAGTATGTGTTAAATACAGGAAGGTAAACTTGGGCTATAATATTGCATTCTGCTAGTTTATGCTGGAAAAGCATATGCAGCATGTGTGTGATACGGGCTCCAGCGCAGTAGGATTTTAGGCTTTATATACAAGCGCAAAAACATTCTCTCACAAATTCTTTGCACAAAATTTCCTAGTAATCAAGGAGTTTGAGCATTTTATGTATTTCTAAATGAAATATGCATATTGCATATTACTCGTTGAAAATAAAGAATATTATGATTGGGAGAAATGTATCACATTATATATTTCAAGCTTGCAGCCAAACCCTTTCATTAAAGGAGATTCATTTTAAGCTAAATATAAAAGAAGTTGGAGTCTCTTTAAGGTAGAATTCTTCCTTTTGTGCTTTCTGATAGCCAAAAAAAAAAAAAACTACTTTACCTTTTACCTGAGTATAAAATAAGTTTGATCAGAACAGAAATGAATGGTGAAGTTCAGCTGAGATCATAGCAAGTCCATTTAAGGACTGTCTACTACAGAAGCAGGGCTATAAGCTCTTAAGTCTAGACTCACCACTCATTTTTTGTAGTCCAAGTTTGTGAAGAGCCAAAGGCATAGCATCTGGACCAGCTCTCCGTCTGATTCCCTGAAGGGTCCAAGGCAGGGGTGACATGTCAACACTCTTCTCACAATAGCCTAGGCTAACCCGCCTTGTCTCTCCTGTAATCACATACTGCATTGCAATATCAGGCATTTTAAGAACTACTATCTTTTTCATATCTTCCCTGTGGGGATGTCACAGTGAGATCTTTCACAGTAGGTAGAGGCTGATGCTGAGCATGCATAGCTGTACCCAGGTCCTGTCCATCCACCCTGCAGTTAAGTACAGTCTGAGGTCTTTGCCAAGTAGCAGCATAAGATCAGCTTTTCTCCTTTTCCATCTTTCTGGGCTCACTCAATACTAGTGATTCATCTTGGGTCTGTGTCCAACCAGTTTGGATTTCAGGAGACAAATGCATCTGACAAGCACTGACATCTGCAATACAGACATGTACATTCAAGCTAGTTGGTCAGATTGCCTTTATAGTCAATGGAAATACATAAGTTCATTTCACCTTATGCTGAAGCTGGATACCTAAATCACGGCCACTAAATCACCAAACTGCACAGAGGACAGTGAGGCACAGAACACATTTTGTTTTCTAACAGGTTGTGTTATTCACCTGTTCTCTACACAAATTGCCAAGACTTTTTCCCTGTAACATTATTCTTGGCTCACTAACATATTACCAGCTTATGTTTTCATCATCTAACTGCTATTAGAATCTGTCAATAGCAATGAGATTCTTTGGATGATAATTGTAAAGAATGAACATTGCCAGTGTCCACTCTCGTTTTCAATAAATGATGTACACCTTCCTTACAGATACTGTTCTTTATGTCTCCTCTGTGTAATAGTGAGCAACAGGTTTCTTAACTTCTTAACATAATACAGCTTCTGTTTACATTTTATTCATTTAAACCTCGTTTAGTTTTTCCTTCTCTTCTGTAGGGAACATACTATTGCTACATAATACATCACAGGGGTCTATTGCTTCTGCATAAAGAGTCAGGATAAATAATTAGAAAAGGTAGTTATGTCTGGAGATCTTACTATGCATATTTAGCTGATTCTTTGAGTGTTTTTGTGCCTCCATATTTTGGCTTCATTCATGTACAGACCTAGGTTCTTCTGACAGTTCTGTAAGTGTTTTTATTTTCCTTTAAATTGGGATAATTGTACCTCCTTCCTTCTTTCTGTGAGGACGATAAGGTTTTGAAATAATTTGAAATGTGCTCTGGCGGTCATCTAAATAAATAAGCTAAGAAAACTCCACCTGTGTGGTTCCAAGAATAGGGAGAAAGTGTAATTCAAAAGGCAGAGCTCAGGGCGCCTGGAAGGTCTGTCTGCCTTAGGCAGCTGGGAGAGAAGAAGGTACAAATGACTATCAAGTTGTGCCCTGCAGTCTTTGTCCCTAGGAGCACAGACCTAAATCACTAAGATTAACTGATCTAGATTAATTCTGTAATGATGAAAATGTCCAAGGCTACAGGGAAAAACTTCCAAGCAGGTGCTGCTGATCATTAACCGACTACAGAAGAAAATGAATACTAGGAGAATGCTGTGTCAGCCTACAGCCTGCAGGGACATAATGCCTAAACCCGATTTTTTCCAGCCATTTGCAGCTCTCCATTATGAAGTGAACTAATCAAGATTGGATGAGGTCAGTATCATGCAGTGGCAGGACCATCCCATTTAACTAAAGTGGTCTTTTGAACCTTTTCTATATTTATGTTTATATTTTGTTATTTATATTTATATGTTATATGGCACAGTTGCCATCTTCTGTATTGAAAGCAGCTACTTCTGCTTCCATGTTGTCTCTACCGGAGTCACATGTGATGTCCCACATAATTCTGCAAAATAGCACAGATGTCAGTGGTTAGAAATTAAGCATATATTAATATTTAAAATGCAATCTATAAAATATCAATTTTAATTAGTACATTTGACATATTAAAAATCAATACTTAAGAAGTGAAAGATTCTGCTTGTTTAGACTGCACTCCACATGGATGATCATTTCTAAATTAAGAGATGCAAATTTAATCAATAGATTTAAAACTTTACATCACTTGAGGCACTTGAATTGCTTCTAATCAGCCTAGCAAAGTGAAAGCATCATTTAATTGTTGTTTTCCCCTCTCTTTGAAAGACAAACATACCTTCAGGCTGGATTTTCCTCAGAATAAGCTATATTATCTGCAGCTTTTGCTATTCTCTGCCATTCTTAACGATTAAAAGTGTATTTAAAATGTGGAGAAGAGAAACTGTTTAAAACCCCAGAGGTTGTTTCATCATTTAAGGAACCTTATCAAAATCAACTTCTTAATTGTAGAGTTTAAAAAAAAAAACTTGGTAAAATATAATTTTCCCATTGTAATATTTGTAGTAATATTTTTTAAGTTATATTAAAAAATTGTCCTCTGGTAGTTGATACTATAAACCAGGAATTACTGAAAGTTATAATTCCCTTATTAATTTTTTCCATTTTAGTTTTACAAACTCGATGCTAACAATGTCTTGCCAGACATCAGTCAAAATATCTGCGAGATTCTTTGGAATATAGCTCATTCTAAATTTAAGCCTTGAAAAAATGTTTTATTTTTTCAGAATATTCATTTAGAGCTTGTTGAATTTACTTTTGCATAAAATGGAAGAAAGACTGAACACCCTGTATTTACACTTTTACCTTTTTACATGAGAAGTCACACTGACATTAAGAGAACTAATCATGTGCTTGAAGATTCTTTGTATCTGGAATCAATGTGAATTTTGTCATTGAATTATATAGGATTAGATCGGCATGAAAATTATTAGGTATGCACTTGAAAGTATCTTGAAGCATTTGGCTTTTGTTCATTGCTTTCAAGCTACATATTTTGGGCCCGTATTTCTGTTAAAATGGACAGGTGACAATTATAATAGAAAAGAAAATATCCTTTTTAAAGCTATCTGTGGATAATGCAGCACAGAAAGAACCATATACTCAAATGAAGCAGTGTACAGTCTATACAAAACTCTGTATGCTACCACATAGCTATCTGGCATGCACAGGTACTGCAGTTGTACAAGTTGTCTGACAATATACTTAAATAGTTATTCACCCAGTTTTCCTGTAGGCCACCAGAATAACATAAATAATTATAACCTACAGTTACTAGTAGTATGTGTTCAGTAAAGAGGGTGCCTCTGAGTCGCAGGCAACAGGATATTTAGGCATTTGCACGATCCAAATTGGGTCGGCAGTCTTTTCTTCCTACAAATTTCAGGGACAAAAAAAGTATGACATATGCTTAAAAACACCTGGCCATCACAACCAAATCGCTCTTGTATTTGCTGATACAGATAAGTCATCCCAGCAGGAGTTTCCAGGGCAAAATATTTTTGGACACGGGAGGGAGGCAGAGATGATATTTCACAGACTGCACGCTGCAGTTGCATGGTTTCAGCGTTGCTTCCTAGCAGATTTGGGCTGACAACAGGCAGATTGGCGACACCGTAGTTTGCAGGAAGTGAAAAGCACTAGTTACTTTGCAGTTGTTCATTGTGAGGACATTCAGTAAGACATACAGCACTACTGATACCACAGTACCAATGTGAGGTAAACGATGCAAACTCAATAAGAATTCTGGCTGGAAAATGGATTTATGACCTATTTTCCTTGCCATACCAATGAGATGAGGACATTTAAGGTTTGGGGAGCCAAACTGCTTTTTTCACAAACCTGCCCTTGTTGCATAATGTTGTGCCTAGGTGGAGGACCTAGAAATCCCACTAGGCTATGAGAGTCTTGGCTGAACGCCTACCTTGAAAGTGTACTGGAATGTGGTAAATTTATCCTCCAAACACAGATCTCTTAGTTGTCAGATGTTAGGTGGAAAAAAACTATACATTTTCCAGCTTTATCTTGCAAAAAAACTGCATCCTCAAACCCTCTATTGGTGACCATTACTAGCATCTCAAGACCTAGCAAACAGCTTTAGAAGGAAAGGCTGGAGCTGCAAGCAGAAAGCCCACAGCAGCTATTTTCACATGCAGCAAAATCACTTCTTCCTATGCAACTAAAGGGGAACTACCCTCTGTACCGTCCGTAACATCCTATGACAACAGTGGCACAAAAATGTCCGGGTGCGCGTTTGAAACCCAGCCCCCTTGTCCTCCTCTTACAGATATCACATAGCATGCCTGCACATACAAGTCTTCTCGTCCATTTTCATAAAGGGAGAGAGAAGAAAAAAAATAGAAGAAAATAGAAAAAGCATAGAGATCTAAACATTATTTCAATTACTTTTTGTCAAGCTGTTGTACTTCACTGATGACTGTCAACTGTTCTTGGAAACCCTAAGTCACAGCCTAACTCTTGCAGTATGGAGCATGATTTATGGCATTTATAGTTGTTAACATATCTTTGAAAATATTGTAGAGATGACTTTCAGCATGAAATGGCTTTGAATTGTTCTTACACTCTGAAACGGTCACCTGGCTTGCATGCACTTTCCTTTGTTATCCTTTTGACTAAAACATTTTCCCCATGAAACATTCTTGGGGCTCTTTTTTGTCTGTGTTTCATAGGCATTCTGTAAAAACTAGGCAAATTCCAGATCGTTAGGTAATTCAAAAGGATCATTATCCTTCACAGAAAGTTCGTGTGTTATTGTACAAGAATCCATGCTGCTTTTTATTTTGTTATAATTTCTGACTTGTATGTGATTTTTAGAATTAGGTGGCATCCAATATCCTACTTGTTATTATAAAGATCGATCAGTATTATCTCTAAAATCTTACCAACTGTGTTCAGGAATCTATATACCAGTGACCTATGTACTTTTCACTGATTTTGTAGAGACTAAAGTGTCAGTTATTTATTTATTTTACTAGATAACGTATGAGCAATCAGTTATCCTCTGACCTCGGATCCCTCGGGCCCTTCCCATCTGTCAGGCATTTCTGTAACTACACATGTTCTTTCTCTACATCAGTCTAATGCGCTAGACTCGTACACATCCTTTATAATCAAAAAGCTGAAATGAAAACAAGAAAGGTGCCACAACCGAAAAACTCAACTCATTTTTCCCTATTCCCCAGCAAAACTCTAGGGAGGCATTGTCTTTGGCTCTGCGTTTGTGCTCCGTATGTTTATATGCATTTGTGACACCATCATACATTTCTTTTTTTCAGTGTAAATGAAAGCCTGAACTGTGCTCATAAAGGTGAAAAACCTCTTTAGAAGGAGGTGGAGCCTCCAGGTATCTTTTATGTCTCTCTGCTGCAGTCACATCATAAACATGATCCCTAAGG